TATAGGGTAGAATAATGGCAGTTTTTTTTTCTGTTATTTACCTATTATTCACCCTTTATTCATTCATTTGACCTGTGCCTTTAGAACTATAATCCTTAAACTATTTTTATTCTCAAGATAAACTTATTAAAGTAAGCTGTATTCTTTTTTATTACTAATTTGGGTTGATGCTATGGCCAAGACCAACACTTGCAGTTAAGATTATTTATTAAACTGCTATTACTCTTGTAAAGTTCATTCAAATCCTGATATCTATCTTTCCAATAACTTTTTCATTATTTCTTACTAGTTACAACTTAGAACTAACAAACTTATTAGACTTTCAATCCAAATAGCTTAGTATAATATACTTATATATCCTTTTTTTTTGTTAATTCTAGTAGCTTGGTTGATGCATATGCTTCTTTTACATACTTGTTATTTAGTTTATTTGACAATTTTTATAAAGATGTTTAATAGGCTTTTATTAATCTAATAGTACTATTAAAAGTTTGTGTTACTTCTTTACTTAAGATTTCTAAGTAAGTTTCTGTCTTCTTGGTTTTTTAGACTTCTACACTCAGTAGTCTTATCATAAATTTGTACCAAAACCTTATATGATACTGGCTTTTCACATTTCTCTATGTATATATAATATTACACTTTGTATAAATGCCCTAAGCTTTTAATGTCAGATGGATTCTAACTTGGTATACCTAAGATTACAGATGCTCAAAATCTAATTGACAGCAAAAAATAGTTATCATAATACAGATATAATTTTCAAAATTTGTTATTTATGAAAAATGAACATTAGACCTGCCACTTGAAGGTTAACAACTTATCTACTTTACTAGGTCATCATACTCCTTTTAAACTTTTCTATAATCTTATTATATATATATATACTATATTTTTTACTATAAAACTTATTAATTAACTTTGTTATTCATACAAAATCCAAATTATTTTTTACAAAGTTACTGCATATCAAGACAACATATACAACAATTTTGCTAACCAACTAACATAAAACTATTATAACTTATTATATTTAACTTTTATACTTACAATATTTATAATTCATTTTATACTTTAATTTTTAAATATTTTTACTTGGAATTATCTATATATTATAGCATTTATACAATTTGTTATATATATATTTATGCTTTATAAATTATACAAAATCAATTTTAAAAATAAACCAAAATTTTTATCCAAATTAATTAGCAAGCCATTTGGCTATATATTAACAATAATCAAAATTTTTAAACTTTTTATATAGCTTTTAATCTTTTGTTTTTAAATTCTTTAGAATTAAAATTTTATTAGATAACTTTTTTGTCTTACACATTTTACACAAATATTATTATTTATATCTAATAACTTGTCATCAATACTATGAAACTAGTTTTTACCTTTATTAAATAACATGTTTATCTAATTAACTGCTATATAACCTTATCAACAATTCACTACAATATATTTTAAATACAAATATACTTAATATTACTTTTAAAATTATAACCAAACTATACTGTTAAATTAGACAACTGTATTTTATAACTATATACAACACAATAGATCTATTCTTAGTTTTTTTAACATTATTAAGCTTAGTGCCAAATAAAATTATCTCTATTATCTTAAACCTATCATCTAAAAAAATAACTATAACACTTGTTATTAAATTTTTATTTTATTTTATTTTATTTATTTATTTTTTTTTGCTTTCGCTAAGGCCATATATAGGAAATTTTTTAACCAATAATCGCTCATCCTATACCCACATATTTCTCATTGTTTCCTTTTTTGGCTTTTATTTACTGGAAAAAAAAGTGAATTTTCGTACACAGTTAATGAGCCTTTTTATAACGAACTTTTTTGAAAGAAGTTTACTGAAACAGTATATAACTCTATAAAGATTTAATAATTTTTTGCTATGATATAAGAACCCTCGGTTCATTAATTTACATCCCATAAACCTTTACAAAATATTAGCAAAACTAGCAGACTGCTTAACATGTTTAGATATCTAGGATTTTTTTTCTAGTAATACTTTCTCATATGTTAGAGATTTGCTGATCCTACTTTTATATAATCATTCTATATTTTTCTGCTTATATGCATTTGAAGACCTCTATATCGGTCTTTGACGTAAAGGCTTGGATTTTTATATTAAATGTGCATGAATGAACATAATCTGTTTTTTTTCAATTATCTGTCGGATTATTTATTCCGTATTTTATAACAAAACTTGTTCTGATTTGTTTATAATTTAACTGACCTTGTTCTTAATTTTTATAATCATCATATATTTTCTACTCACATGCATTCGAAGACTTATTCAAACTTTTATATTAGTCTTCGATGTGAAAATTGTAAATTTTCAGGTTAAAGATGTACATAATCTTTTTTTTTTAATTATTTGTCGGAATGTTTTTCCTAGATTCGTACCATTATCGAATGTTATATCATAGAGATTTTTTAATTTAAATTCGCGTAAACTGTCACTTTAATTCGTTCATTATATCATTCCTATTTTAATTTTCGATAATGACAAACCCCACACAAAAGAAGTGAATATATTATTACTTGGAGAGACTGGTGTAGGAAAATCTACATTTATAAATGCACTCTATAATTATCTTAGATTTGACACTTTAGATGATGCGTTACTTGGGCATATGGAAATACTAATCCCATCAAAATTTACGATAACAGATGAGAATTATGATCTTAGAACTATAAAACTTGGTGATGATTCAAACGAAAATTTAGAAAATGTTGGAATGTCAGCTACTCAATCATGTAGAGAATATCAATTTAACTTGGGAGATGTGATTGTAAGATTTATTGATAGTCCCGGAATAGGAGACACAAGAGGTATTGATAAAGACAAGGAAAACTTTGAAAATATTCTTAAATTTATTAGCAATTACGAATATCTGAATGGGATTTGTATCCTTCTCAAACCAAATAATGCACGATTGACTATATTATTTAAATTTTGTATACAAGAACTATTATCTCATTTACATAAAAATGCCAAAGATAATATTGTTTTCTGTTTTACTAATTGCAGAGGAACACTCTATCGTCCAGGTGACACATTACCTGCACTTAAAGAGCAACTCCATAGACTTGAGCAAAGATCTGGCGTTCAAATAAAAACAAACAAAGAAACTATGTACTGTTTTGACAATGAATCATTTCGGTTTCTAGCTGCATCTAAGAATGGTGTAAACTTTGGTGAAATGGATAAAACAAGCTTTACAGAAAGTTGGAAAAGATCTGTTGCTGAATCTGTAAGTCTTCTTCACTATCTTGGATTCCGTGACCCTCATAAAGTACAAGACACTTTAACACTCAATGAAGCTAGAAAGATAGTATTACATCTTGCTAAACCTCTTGCAAGCATGGAACAGAATATTCAAACAAATATTAAACTCATTAAAGATCAACAAAAGGAGATTGATAGCTGCACTGAATCTATTAAAGATCTTCAAACAAGATTACTTATCCCACAGCAATTCCCTGAAACAATAGAACTAGGATATCCTAGAACTATATGCACTCAATGCAACCGCGAGGTAGTAAATGGGCAAGTAAACTACAAATCTCATTGTCACAAGCATTGTTATTTGAATGGAGTCGAGGTTGAATTGCTTAATAATGTAAAATTATTGGATTGTTGGGCTATTCAAAATGATGGAACTTATCGTGTATGTGGTTGTAGATATGCAGTACATATGCATATAACTTATGATATTGGTTTCAAAACTCAATATGTTGTTGATAAGAGTGTGGAAAAACAGATTAGTGATAAAAAATCGTTTCAAGAAGCCAAGAAAAGTGCCCTAGAAAGTTGTGAAAATTACGCAGGCAATTAGAAAGTGAACAAAAGAAGATAGCTGAAATTAATGTTTGCTTTGCGAAATTTCTAAGACAAAGTGCAATAGCCACATTTAATGATTCATATGCTGAATACCTAGATCATTTCATACGTGAAGAAAAAATCAAGAAAGCTGCATGCCCTCATGGTGGTAATGATGCAGTTATCGAAGCACTTGAAAATACGAAAAGAGAGTATCTAGAAAAGATTAAAATTATAAAAGAAGCAATCGCAACTAATGATCCTTCTGAATATGTAATCACTCCAGAAGATATAAAGAAATATGAAAATGACTTGTATAATTTGAAAATCAATGGGGTAACCTTGAAAAATATGAAATATGTGGCAGAACGTAGTCAAGCTCGCGCATTTAGACAATATCAATCTAAGACTAATAATGTTTATAGAAATGCATACAAATCAGTATCTAAACTTTTTAACCGAGTATTTACATTTAAACCAAAAGATGATAATTATGCCGATTCAGATTATACTAATAATTATGCCATTGTGAAGTATTCACAAAATGATGCCAATAACGTTGATAATAGTGATATTGATAATGCCCTTGTTAAGTTGTCACTAGCAGATGATGATTACAATAATTACATAGATCGTCATTATAATCATTATACTAATTCGAATTATACTGATAATTATGCTATTGTGAAAGTTCCAACACAAATTAAGTCCAAATATTTAGCACTTGATTATTTCTCTTCGGAATAAATAGATAACAAAATTATAATCGAAAAATATTTCAATGTAACTAGTTTGTAACTTTACTAAGTTTTTTTTTTTTATCATTTTATTTTTGATTATATATGCAAATGTTTGATCTTATACAGTATTATTTCGGAAATATATTAGATAAGAGACATTATGCCATTTTCTTGTATTGAATTTTATCATAAATAAAGGTCGTGTTAGCCCTTGAGAAAATAAGTCGTTCTACTATATCCAAGACGAGTAATACGAATAGTAATACGAATAGTAGTAGAGTATGGGTTGGTAAAGTAGTGGAGTATAATACATTAAATTAACAAACATGTGTGTACGGTTGGTAAGGTCACAACTAAGTATAAAGTAATATATCGCGTATAGTATGCAAATATATACAAAATTTGTACAAACGTGATGTTAAAGAAAACTAGATTTCTGGCTTTAAAACTTATAATATCGAATCCAATTTTGATGAATTTTAAAAGTTTGAGTTTATATTGTTATTTTGATAGTTTAAAAGCCCGAAATTTAATATGGTCGTTAGATAGCAAATGCAGCGATCATGATGATTTTCTTTTTTAAAATAAATAAAATCGGGGTGAAATAATATTCATTAATAAAAGAATTCGAATATCTTCAAATGATATTAGTTCAAGTGAGGAGTTTTTCGACAAAGGTAATTTTTTCAAAAACAATTTTTTTAAATACTAAAAGAAAATTTTTTTGAAAAATAGTTTCTCTAAGGAAAGTTTAAAACCAACAATATATAGATCTTCATCCGAAGTAAAAGCCTGACAGTCGATACAATTTTTATAAGCATAGCGATAGTTAAGTCGATAATTTTAATACGACAGGGTGAAACCTGAGTTGCCAACTAGTAAAACCCGTGTTTATCAATCATATCATGTAAAATCTGAGATAATAATGTAAAACCTGAGTTTATTTCTTAGGTTATGTAAAATCCGCTTTTTTTAGAAGTATTTGTGTAAACCCGCCTTTAATTAGATAAAACCGGCTTTTTATATGTAAAACCTGCTTTTTTTAATTAATCTATATAATATGATAATCTTTAAACCTCGCGTACCTAGTGTTTAATGAAACTTACAGATTCCAACACTACGTATACCTCATGCAAAACTGCGAAACTGAATATTTTATTCCTAGCCAGTCATAGTTTTATAACTTGAAGTTAAAAATTATAAGAAAGAATGTTTTTCACTCTAACTTGACTAATGATTTTTTTAGTTTAAACAGCTATATGACATGATAAGGTTGTGCAAGCATCATCTTAATAGCAAGTATACTTTTTTTGTCAACTTAACTCATTAATCATCTCATTTTTTTAATTGTATTATTTATTACTCAATTCTTAAAAATTTGTCAATATAAATGATTCAGACTGAAGATTTTTGTCTGTTTGTTTTGCCAGTTCCAATCAACTTACAGACAATCACTTCAAAGTCAGCACATTTCACTGACATTCATTTTACTGACAAAGCTTATTTTACAGAATAGTTCTTTTCATAGTCAGTATATTTCATCAGCAGCTCATTTCACAGACAAAGTAATTCTAGTCATTGTCATTAGGTTTAGGTTCGGAATTAGAGTTAGGATTAGTGTAATTTATTAAAAAACTTGTCTGAATGAGCTGTTAGTAAAATATACTGTCTACGAAATGAAATATTCTGTAAAATAAGCTTGTCAAAGAAATGAGTGTCAGTGAAATAATATGGACCCATTTTTGCTTAATAATGAATATAGAATTGGAGTTAAAAGGAATGAAAATGAGATGTTATTTTCAATTTTAATATGTTAAGTGCATTTATATATTATTAGGAGGAATTAGACAACACTCATAAAGTATATTTCAGATACAATGTTTCGAAAAACTCCTTCAAAATCATCCTTTTAGTAGATTTTTGGTATTGAATAAATACATTTTAGTTCCTAGTTTATTTTGATAATGGTGCTAACATTTTATTGCCTACTAATATTTTATTTACTATAAAGGTCAAATTTTTAATTACAATTTTCAAGAGTATTTATTTTAGCAAATATTGGTAATAAGCAAATACAATATATCTATTCTTTTGATTTTAATAACAAATGTTAATTAGATGCATTTTTATTAAATTCTTTTGTCTCAGAAATTTATTAGTTTCTGAATGAGATTATATAATAATTTACACTTTTAGTATATGTTATCTTAGTTGTGTTAGTAATAAGGCTAGTGAGCAGACAATATTATACTAAAATTTTGCAATAAATTTTTTTTTTGGTATATTATAATATTAAGTAAAATTTTAAGATTAATGAAAAATGTAAATTAGAACTGACATTAGCACTTTAATTCTGTAAAGACTTTTTAGTAAGTTTTTTTTTATGTTTTTTATCCTTTTTACTCATAACTGAGATGCAGTTACACAATTTATATATAATAATTACTGACTTAAAGAGTAGTTTAATGATTGATACTGCAAGAAGTTAAACTTAAAAACTTAATTAATGTTATAGATGATGCTGAAATTGAAGTTTTGATTTGAAAATGTGAGTTTAGTAAAAATTCTTATTTATTTCTAAATATTAGTTTAAAATTTTATATCAAAAATAGAACCAAATTTCAGTATTAGTCATGACAATTAATATCTTATTTTCTTATTTTACAAATAAAACATTAAGTTACTAGTTGTCTTTAATATTTATATTACACTTAATGTTATCTTATTGATTGTGTTAAAAACTTTGTAATTTATTATATAAAGTGCTAACTCAATCTAAATAAAAAATTTAATGTTCCATAATAATCTGCATTAAATTTTATTGGCTAGTAACTAAAATCATGATTTGTTAATTCATTTTTTTCTATTGATGTTAAAAAAAGTAACCTGAAATTAGAGTATCAGAAAGGTGCATTACATATACCAAAATTTTTATAAAAATAATTTTTATTAGATGCAAAAGTAGTTTTGTAAGTAAATTTTGAGTTATAGGTGATTTTTTAAATAAATTTGGCAGTCTTTTTTTATAGAAATAATGCATAAATTAGTAATATCTGAAATAATTTCTTAAACTATTAATCTCAATAAAGTAAAAGATCTAGAATTCTTAACCAACATATAGAAATAATGCATCAAGAATAATATGTGTTTAATAACAACTATTTTATGCATACTACTTAAAATAAGCACTACTGAATTTAAAGACATCAAAGCAAATTTATTTGTGTCACTAAATAAAAAATAATAATTAAATCTATATTATCACTTTTTTTTATTGAAAAATTATTTTATGCTTCTACATTTTGTTTTTTTTTTTTAATATTAAGGTAACCTTTTTGGTTCTAGCTTTTTATTAATACTTATGTCTAATACATGTTTTATACAGATGTATTTATATTTAACTATCAAATGAGTATACAACTAGCTACACATATAACTTTTCTATATTACCTATTTATAAAGTCCATTTTAAGGTTCTCTACCAGTTGTCATACCTAACATCTCTACTTAGATGTTTTATTTAAACCCTCTGATCTGACTCTAGTATTAATTTTACCAGATCACAGACTCAAATATATTTATTTTTAACCATAGAACTATAATCCTTAAATTATTTTTATCCTTGAGGCAAATCTACTAGAGTAAGTTATATTTCCTTTTATCATTAATCTGGTTTGATGTTATGACTAAGACCAATACTTGCAGTCAGGGTTATTCATTAAACTGCTATTACTCTTGTAAAGTTCATCCAAACTCTAGTATCCATCTTTTTGATTTCTTTTCTATTATCTTTTACTAGTTGTAACTCAAAACTAACCAACTCTTCAGACTTTCAATTCAGATAGTCTAGTATAATATACTTATATATCCTTTTTCTTTAGTAATTTTGACAGTCTAGTTGATTATATACTTCTCTATACATCTTGTCATTTGGTTTATCCAACAGTTTCTATAAAGGTGTTTTATAAGTTTTCATTAGTCTACTGGTACTATTAAAAAGTTTGTGCTATCTTTTTACTTAAAATTTCCAAGTAGGTTTTTGTCTCCTTAGTTGCTTAACCTTCTATGCCTAGTGGTCTTATCATGGGTTTGCAACAAAGTCTTATTTAATACTGGTTTTTCACATTTCTCTATGTATGTATAATATTACACTTCACATAGATGCCCTGAGCTCCCAATGTGAGATGAGTTCTGACTTGGTGTATCTAAAATTACAAATATCCAAAACTCAACTGATTAACAAAAAACAGTTACCATAATACAGATATAATTTTCAAAATTTATCATCTATAGGAATTGAACCTTAAACCTACCACTTGAGAGTTAACAATCTATTTATTTTATTAGATCATTACACCTTTTTTACATCTTGTTTATACTATATTTAATATACACAGTGCCTCTTGATATAATGGACCATCAATATAACAGATATTGCTTAATATGGAGAATTTTAATGAAACAAAATTATTACTAATAAAATTATTTTAATATATTGGAGATTATTAATAATCTCACAATATAACTTATAACAGATTTTGATTTAAAACCAAAATATGCTAATATAATAAAAAATCTCTTGGTAAAGTGGATATTATTATTTGTAGAAAAGCATTCATATAATTAGTTAATTTTGTAAATCTAATCATAACTTCCTGTGACAATTAACCAATCAGAATATATAATTATTAAAAAATGTTTCTAGATACTATAAATAGCAAAACTGTAAGTTGGGCAAAAGGCAACTTTACTAGAAGTGTGAACAAGATTTGACAAGTATAGTTTTTGTTTTATTTGAGATGGTACTTGAGTTTTTGCTTAACAACTCTAACAAATTTTTAAAATTACTACAACTGTTTGTATAAAGGTGTTCAATCTTTCTAATTACTTTAAGAGCTGCAAAAAATAAGTTTTTCTTTATTATACTTGTTTTGCTTTTATATATTTTTATTTTACTAACTAATTATATTATTTTTAAAATGCTACCAGTTTCTCTTCATTATTTTT